TATAAATTGGCCCAACTAGCCTCGTTTCTGGGTAGAAATTCCTTTGAAATCTTAACATGAGTACGAGGCTAGTTGGGCCAATTTATATGCACATAAAAGAATTTTTAATCGGCAGCCATTTATGAAAAGGGTGTATTTTATTATCCATGGTGGTACAACGCAAATTATCAAACGTTTAAATTTTATCCGGCAGATAGCGACTTAAATCCCTTTCGTACAACCGGCCCCATGCAGGAGAATAAAATGAACCGTCTCCTAGCTTGAATTCTTTCATTCAATTACTGTTGACCTTCTTTTGATAATGACGAAAAATCTCCCTATGAAAATCTGCCATTGGGAATACGTTTAGAGGAAATCGCAATGCAAATGTGCAAATCAATGTTGATTGACTTGGCGATGATTTGCATTGCAAAATGTCTCCACGTCTGTCAAGTTGGACGAATCAGAGTCCTTTCTGTAGACTCCGACCAATCACAGACGGAGAACTCGTGACGAAATGCGAGGCAAGTTTCAAGGTAATTCAAGCTGAGAACTTTTTTATTCTGTCCTGCTCCGCGATGGAAGACGAAATGGAAGTAAGTGTTTGACCAAATTTATTTTCTAACTTATAGTTTGTTCTGTTGAATTTTGATAGAGTACTATATATATATATATATATATTAGTAAGTTAGCGACGTTATTCAATGTAGGTTACACATAGCAGTATATATAAGATCGCTGATAACTAGTTATAGCGATGGCGTTGTTGTTCAATTTCGCCTTCAGCAGTTGCAGTTTCGGGTAACTTATGAAATTTGAATTCTGGCCAGCTAGCCACATCTGTTTGTGTAGTATATAGCTTAATTAATAAGGTGTTAATAAGTATTTTATATGTTACAGTAAATTATGGTCTAAATATTTTGCCACGTGTAGCAATTCAGCCTGCCTTTCAAAGGCGCGTGTTCTGAGCATGCATGTATAAAAATTCGAAACCTCAAGGATATTTCGCTCGTGCAATTTTGACTTTTCAGGCTGCATTTAATTGTCTGTTTGCGTTGCACATTACTTATAAATATGAGTAGACAAATCCTGACAAGTCAACTGAATAGGCATGAGGCGTGGGGGTGGTGTTTTTTATTTTGACTTTTTGTGTATTAATTTTTTTTTAGAATCAAAGCATATTCCTCCACAAACTCGCGTATGTGTTAGCAATACTATACTCTTTAGAAATTGCATGGAATACATTTTGCTGTAAGTTCTTGAGGTAACCGCCCGCTAGATCAAAATTTAGTCTATTACGCAAATGGTCAATTGTGAACGATTTCTCTTAACTACGCGCTCATGACTGTGATTCACATTCACAACGAATTTACGACGCGTGCGTGGGGAAAAACTGCCCGCTATTGCCACAGTTTCCCCTCTGCATGCGTAAAAACTATGGATGGTTTTGCCGCTTTGGTAAGCAAAGACAGGGACACGAGAAAAACAAAATAAAACTAGTCTCCAATTATTAACGACTGTTTTTTAGTCGCGTCGCAGATTTCGTGCATTTTAAGCTCGCTATAAATGATAACGTTGCATGGACGCGGTTACGTTTACCTGTATCTGAACGTTTTAAAAACGTCGTTACTGTCAAATATTGTTAGTTTTTACTTAGAATTGTTTAGCTTTAAACTATATGAAATTGGGTTTTTTTTCACAGAAACTATAAAGCCTCGATCAAGACATAGTTAATATAGAAGACCTTCTATATTAACTATGATCAAGATCATCGCAGCAAAAAAAGATAAAGAAGGGTATTAAAGTAGATTTATTGGATTCTTACTATTGCCGTTCTCATTCATAATGACGTCAAACGTGAACACTCGTATAATGGATGTTTTAAGCGACACTTTCTTGGACAATTTGGCAGCAATTTCTCTTAATTATATTCCATCACATCGCTTTTACTGGAAGGCAGATTCCATGAAAAGTATTATCTGCGTTTGGTCGCGTCATGATGAAAAACTCTATGGACTAGTTAAAACATTCGCAGCCGAACTTTATCTGATATTCTAAACACAAACTCGAGCCGAATGCGAGAGTTTGTATATCAGATAAAGATCGGTTAACGTGCTTAAAAATCACCCATCTTATGAGTTCATTGACGAACTAATTTTAGAAATAAACATTATCCATCAGGACAAATCTTTATCCGATTTACAAACCTTGTGAATTATTAATGAGGTTTTAAAAGTATTTTGTAAAATTATTTTGATTCTTTATATATATATATATATATATATATATATATATATATATATATATATATATATATATATATATATATATATATATATATATATATATATATATATATATATATATATATATATATATATATATATGCGCAAATGCAGTTTTTCATTTTGTCATGCAGGCTATAGAACCTTTTGAACAAGTGCAGTGAGATACGACGAGAATTGTGGTGGCAAAACACGTTGTTATTCATATTATATACCATACCATTATTGTGTTGGTGATATTACGTTGATTAAGTAATCAAATCACAAACTGGTCATGCAGAATTTATGATCCGTTTGCTAAAGCCAGGCGCACTCAATGCTAATGGTCCAGCTATATAAAAACCTAATTTTGATCTAGGCAAGTAAAACGAAATCCATCGCCACATTTAGAAACAAGTTGTTAAATTTAGTAAAATTGCAATGTTTGGTTGCGAAATGTTGTAAAATGACGAAAATATAGCCCTGCGAAATTTTGTATTATAACGCAAGCACGGGAGAATGCACCAATTTCGGCCCAAATATTAAATGTGTTGCATTTTCCCTCGTGTAATACAATGAAAATTTAGTATACGACTGGAATCATCCATTAAATTCGGCCGATTATTATCAGTGTTCGTATAAGCTTGTTGATTCCAATGCAATCGCGAGTGCCTAGGACCTTACTCGGCAGGGGGCATTTGATTTGCAGGTTAATTTTTTGCGCGGCGCCCAATCTCGTTCCCAGAGTATGCCTGTTCGCGGGTTATGTAGTGGCATGACCTAACCCGCGAACAGGCATACTCTGGGAACGAGATTGCGCGGCGCCTATAAATGAATTCCCCCGAGTCTGCGATCCTCGGGAAGGAACGTGAGGTGGGATATCCCGTTTCAGGAATGAATCTGATTGGCCGCTTATATAACCTGAAGTTCAGGCCCTAATTAGGGCCTGAACTTCAGGTTACCGCTTATATAAATGCGCAGTTCAATCTTAGCCAGGATTCCTGGCTTCCGGCAACGGATTTATATCCCAAAGTATCCCAGAATATCCCAGAGCTTCACGTTTGTTCCCGAGGATCGCAGGCTCGTGGAACGAGATTGTGGATTGGGCAATTGCTAGATAGTATACTTCAAAATAAGGTTTCCGTTTTTATATTAATTTTTAAAATAAGTTAGGGTTAGGTTAGTGTTGGGGTTAGGTTAGGGTTAGTATTAGGGCTAAAGTTAGTATTAGGGTTAGGATTTAGTTTTGCGTTAGAATGGTTTTTTCTACGTTATAAAAACGGAAACCTTATTTTGAAGTATACTTTCTAGCAATCACCTTGTGGATTGCCTTCTCTATGATTGCCTTAAGGGGGGGGTACACATGGATTGATGGACATTTTTGAAATGGCTGTAATTTTAAA